CACGACAAAGAAGACCAGCAGCACCACGCCGCCCAACACCATCGCGACGCCCACGGCCGCGCTGGACTGGAGGGGCCTCGTACTGCCACCTTCCATGGAAAGCATGCCGCGAGGGGTGCTCGGGGAGGCCCCCCCCGAGGGCGCCTCGCGAGGTGCTGAGGATCTCGGGGGCGGAGCGCGGACACCACAGAGGACGCGCTCGGCCGCCTTGCTCCACGCGCCTCCGCAAGACGCGCATGGAGAACGGGGCGGCCCTCAGGGACGCGGCCCCCTAGAGCGGTTGGCCCGCGCGCGGCGCGCGCCGCGCGGCGGGGGGCCGCGTCGGAAGGAAGAGACTGCCTGCGGCAGAGGGGGATCTCGCGGGAATCTCCTCCTCCTCCTCCCGCTCCTCCTCCTCCTCCCACTCCTCCTCCTCCCTCCTCCCTCCTCCCTCCCCCCTCCTCCCTCCTCCCTCCCCCCTCCTCCTCCTCCTGCCTCCTGCCTCCTACCTCCTCATTCCTCCTCATCCTTCCCCATCCCTCCTCATCCCTCCTCTCCCCTCCTCATCCCTCCTCATCCCTCCTCATCCCTCCTCATCCCTCCTCATCCTTTCTCATCCCCCTCCTCATCCCTCCTCCCCCATCCTCCCTCCTCCCTCCGCCCTCCGCCCTCCGCCCTCCTCCCCCCCTCCTCCCTCCTCCCTCCCCCCTCCTCCTCCTCCTCCTCCTCCTCCTCCTCCTCCTCCTCCTCCTCCTCCTCCTCCTCCTCCTCCTTCCTCCCCTCCTCCTCCTCCTCCTCCTCCTCCTCCTCCTCCTCCTCCTCCTCCTCCTCCTCCTCTCATCCTCATCCTCATCCTCCTTTTCCTTTTCCTCCTCCTCCTCCTCTCCTCCCTCCTCCTCCTCCTCTTCCTCCTCTCCGCCTCCCCTCCCCCTCCTCCTCCTCCTCCCCTCCTCCTCCTCCTCCTCCTCCTCCTCCTCCTCCTCCTCCTCCTCCTCCTCCTTCTCCTTCTCCACAATTTCTCAATATGTATACTCCTCTCCCTCTTCCCCTGATGACGGTTTGAAAGTATTAGCCCCCCCCCCGCGCATTGTATTTTACACAGGATTCCCCGGAGTTGGGTTTTCGCTTGCATTTGTTTCCAAAATGCTGCTTTCGCTGAGGCGCCAGCTTCATTTTCGGGCCCCGCTCGTTCCGAATCGTGATCCCGCTGCAGCGGTAGCCTTCTGTCTGTGCTTCCGCTCGTTCCGAATCGTGCTCCCGCTGCAGCGCTGGCCTCACGTCCGCGCTTCCGCTCGTTCCGGCTCGTGCTCCCGCTGCAGCGTTGGCGTCATTTCCCGCGCCATGCCACGGCATGCAATGCAATGTTGGGTTGATACTACGCTTTGCGGTGCTCTTCTACGCCATGTCATGCCGTGCTCTACAATGCATCGCGTACCTTTTCGAAATCATTGCCTTGCACGACATTCGACTGCGCGAGTAGAGAGGGGATCTACGCCATGGTAAGGGATGGGAGGGAGGGGTAGGATGTCAGATATGACGCGAGCGCAACTACCTTGTCATCCTCCACCTCCCCCACCTCCTCCTCCTCCTCCTCCTCCTCCTCCTCCTCCTCCTCCTCCTCCTCCTTCTCCTCCTCCTCCCGCCCACGGGCTCCCGCGGCCCCCCACCAACGGGGCCCCCCATGGATCGTCGGAGCACGGCTCGGGAAACGGAGCTGGCGGGCACCAGCGCCGCCGTCCTCGCACGTCATCGTCGGTCGTCGTCGTCGTCGTCGTCAGTCGTCGTCGTCGCCATCGTCGTCGCCGTCGTCGCCCTCGTCGTTTCCGTTCGTCAACATTCGACGTCGTTCGTCTTCGTCACTGTTCGTCTTCGTCCTTCGTCGTCGTCGCTGTCATCGCCGTGTTGCTGGCCGTCGTCGTCGTCGTTCATCAGCGTACGTCGTCGTATCTCATCCTTGTCATTCGTCCCCGTCGTTCGTCGCCGTCGTCATGATCAGCGTCGTCGGTCTTCATTGTCGTCCTCGCCATCTGGCACACGTCATCATCGGCGTTGTCTTCCTCCCCCCCTCCCTGGCACGTCGTTTCTCCCCGCCCGTAAAGCAGAAGCGGCGTTCCCCTGGGCTGCCGCCTGCCCCGACGGGGAACGCGCCGCGACGACGGCGACGGCGACGGCGATGGCGACGACAGCGGCGCCGATCACCACTGCCCTCGCGACCAGGGCCACCGCGGGCGCGGGATCCGGCGACGCGCCCGAAATGGAGGCTCAGACGGCCTCCGGCCGGCCTCCTCCTCCTCCTCCTCCTCCTCCTCCTCCTCCTCCTCCACCTCCTCGTCATTATTCTCCTCCTCCTCCTCCTCCTCCTCCTCCTCCTCCTCCTCCTCCTCCTCCTCCTCCTCCTCTTCCTCCTCTTCCTCCCTCTCCCTCCTCCCGAGAAGCTCGCTGGGCCTTCTCCGAAGCCGCAGGGGGATTTTCGGAAGGAAAGAAGGGCTTCTGAAAAGGCCCCGCCGCCTTTGAAAAGGCCCGCCCCCTCTCGCTTACGACGACGACGACGACGGCGGCG